GTCCTTTCCTGCCTCCCTGGTGCCTCTCAGGCTGTCCAAATGGTCCTCTCCTGCCTCCCTGTCAAAGGGAACCCTGTGCTCCGAGCGGCATTTCAAAGGCGAGTCTGCGCTGGGCAGCCGGCCGTGGAGCCCACCCCAGGATTTGCCGCGAACAGGGCCGTTCGCCATTGAAATTGTATTAAAAATTAAACAAAATCCGGCGCCCCGATTCGACCGGCAATCCTGTGCTACAAGTCTTCCTTGTGCCTCCCTGGCACCTCCCAAGCTGTCAAAATGGCTCTTTCCTGCCTCCCTGGTGCCTCCTGGTGCCTCGCAGGCTGTCCAATTGATCATTTCCTGCCTCCCTGGTGCCTCCCAGGCTGTCCAATTGATTTTTCCTGCCTCCCTGGTGCCTCCCAGGCTGTCCAAATGGTTCTTTCCTGCCTCCCTGGTGCCTCCCTGGTGCCTCGCAGACTTGATCCTTTCCTGCCTCCCTGGTGCCTCGCAAGCTGTCCAAATGGTCTTTTGTGCTAAACAAGGCATTTCCTGAAAATTTACGCTAAACCCCTGAACCCTTACTAGGCACTAGCACGCCCAGAGCAAAATGGGGCAAGCTTTGGGGTTTATCTTTCTTATATACATAAGAAGGGTGGCGTGAGTACGGTCACGCCCATTTGTATTCTCACGTAGTGGTCTGGCTTAGGCCTCTTTTGTTGTCGTCCGTTTCAGGTCCAGCAGGAGGCTTTACCCTCCTGCAGACGTATATTCTCTGCGAGCAAAATTGTTAAGCCACTCACAGCGGAGCTGCTCGGGCGTTGCCTGGTCTCGGCAACCAGCGGTCGAGGGCTGCTGTATAGCGCTAACGCCCTCTCCCTTAGTTTAGGGTTTAGGGTTTTAGGGTTTAGGGTTTAGGGTTTAGGGTGTGTGCTGTGGTCGCTCGCGCCTCGTCACGGGCGGGCTCCCCAAAATCTTTCACGCCCGCCCTTCTCCAATTGCGCTCGCTCGCGTTGCTTTGTGTTCCCGCCCCAGCCACCCTGTCTATGCTCTTTTTGGGTTTAGGGTTTTTTTCTTTGAAAACCCTTTTGCGGGCCGGTCCTCATTTCTTCTCACCCTCAGTCTGCACACCAGCTACACATTAACTTCGAGGCCGGGCGCCCGCGGAGATGCGAGCGAGAACCGGAAGGGTGGAGCGAGCGTCGAGCGGGCGCAAGGGGATTGTTGCGATGGGTGATTGCTTGTTCTCCATACTAAAAATCATGGCATCTATTTCGGAGATGGTCTTATATGTCGGCCTGCCCGCCACGCAACAGAGCAAAAAGAAAATCGCGGGAACGTTTTTTGTGGGTATACATGTCAGAGGCAAACCACATATCAATCATTTATTGATTATATATCTATATGACCAAATTTATAGATCAATCGTTTTGCACATAAGGGCGGATGCAAGCAATGTCCCGGTGAGCCAACACGTACAGCCACACAGAATTTGAAGCAGATGCTGAACGTCCACGACTTATGCGTATCAGAATCAGTGTCAACAATCAACACAGTGGGTCCAATGATTGGAATTGCACTTGCATCTTTTAACTGTGCAGCTACGAAAAAGCCCGTCCTGCCCCACAGGTGGGGGTGGGTGGGCGACTGTTTATTCCACGCCCCCAGGTGCCTGCCTCGGTCGCCCAAGAGCGGCTGTCCGGAGTGTCTGTGGCAACCGAACCTCTCTGATCACTGTGCTGGAACGAAATGGGCGGGCCCAACCTTGCCAGCAATCATGTAGTCGTCAGCTTTCTCCACCCGAGACATTGCCACGTACGCTGCCGCGCGGCAACCGGGACGGTCTAGCCAGATGGTAATGTGCGGCAAAGTCGCGCCTTGGATCTTTGGAATTGTGGTCGCATATCCAAGGCGTACAGGAAAGGAAGTGGCGTTTCCGTGGCCTGGAACCTCTTCTGTGTAGAGGTGCACGGCCAGCGGCTTCCCCATTGTGGTGACCACACGGAGGCATTTGCTCCTAGGGTCATATCCCTCCACGATGGCAGCCATTCCATTCACGAACCCGTTTTCTTTGTCCAGGTTGCGTGTCAGAAAGATGCGCATTCCCCTGAAGATCTGATTGTGGGAAGGTTGCGGCGGGCCAGGCCGCAGAGTGCCGTCAGCGAGGTAGTTGGCCTCATTCATATCCCAATCCATCTCAATCTCTCCCAAGGACTTCTTGTGTCGACCTTTAAAGAGAACTTCCACAGCGAGTTCATTGATCAGCGCGCTGGCTCTTCGTGTGCAGGTCACGATGGTGGTATCTGGCTTGCGCCGAAGCAAACATTGAAGATCCCACGCCTCTGGGTCAGTGGTCGTCCAAGCCCGGTGACCGCGCAAAATCTGTCTCAGCTGCCTCTTGGTCGGAGCGGCCGTCCGAAGCATGGTCAAATACTTCTGCAAAACGGGGTCCTTGCATCGCACCTGCTCTGTGAAGTTGATGACCTTGACGTTGGGCTTCCACAGGCCACTCTCATCGCAGCGCTTTTCTGTTTTGCTCACCACTGGCAGCTGCCAGAAATCACCAGCTAATAGCAAGCACGGAAGCTTGTCTGCAGCATTCCACATAGCGAGGACCCGGTCGAACTGCTCGGCCGTCAACATAGAGACCTGACTGAAACAAGTTAAATTAACAGCCAACTTCAACCTCCGTGCGCGCAAGCGCTGTGCGCGGGTCAGGCGAATGTATGGGAACGCGTTTGGCTCTTGTCTGCGGTTTACATATCGAAGTTTCGTTTCATTTGGTTTGGCGCCTCGTCCAGGACGATGAGGTCGTACTGCGTCATGATCCCTAAGGCTTCCGAGAGCTCCTTGTGGAATAGCAGTCCGCCATGGTAGGTGTCCACATCAACGTGGGGATGTCGGGCCCGCATGTTCGCCGCAAGCTGCCCGGTGGGTAAGACAAACAAGATGCGGGCACCTTTTGCTTGCCAGCGTTCGATTTGATCATGCAAGATGAAGGTCTTGCCACTGCCTGGGCCCCCGCTCGCAAACAGCATCTTGTTGTGCTCCAGCGCTTCTGCCATGAGCTCTTCTTGTTCTTCATCATCCTTTGCTTGAAATGCTTGCAGCGCGCGGTCCATGATGGGTTTGATGGAGCCACGAAATATCTTTTGTGAATTGGTCAAGGCTTTTCTGGTCTGTTGCCGTTTCTTCTGCCCCCCATCATCCTCATCGCTATCCTCACCGGATTGGATCTCTTCGGTTGCATCGAGCTCCCCACTCAGGTATCGACCAACCAAGCTTCTTTGGGCCCTGATCTTGTGCAAGATGGTGTCAATCATCGCTCGATTGTAAGCTTCGAGCTCCATCTGGCTGCGGATCTTGTCGTCGTTCTCCCAATACGCGGGATCAGCCTTCAAGGCCATGGTAAAGTAGCGGTAGTGAGCCGGCACACGATCCATGTGATCGGCAAAGTCGTCGACCAGATCTTTCATGTTGAGGAAAGGCTTGTGCAACACCAGCCATTGCCCGTAGTAGCGGTCATTGAGCATGCTATACATGCTGGCCGCAACCAGCTTTTCGGCTTGGCTCTTGTACCTGTTTGCAAACGCATCCAGGTCCTCCACCCAGACATCCCACTCCGCTTCCAAGAACTCCGGCAATGTACTCACCTCCTGCCCTGCCCGGCATTGCCGCTTGTAGGTCTTGACGAGCTCGATGCTTCGCTTGCCCGGCATTGCCGCTTGTAGGTCTTGACGAGCTCGATGCTTCGCTTGGCAGCTTCTTCTGGGGGCACCTCGTGCTCGAGCATGGCTTCCTCCACCATTTTGGCTGCGTGCTGGAAATGCTTGTCTTTGATGTGGCGAACGATCTGGCCGGATTCATTGCTTTTTCGGAGGAACTCGATGAGAGGCATGTCGTCCCGACGCCAACCAGAGTCTTCGTAGTTCTTGAGCAGCTTGGGCTTCTTAGCCTCCTCCGCGTCTGGCAAGGGCGCAAACAGATTCACGAGAGTGCCCTTGTAGTCCACCTGAGGAAACCTCTCCTGCGCGAGGGTCAGCCACATTTCAGGCTCCAGCGGGTGATAGCTGAAGAGAATGCGCCTTGCCACGCTGTAGTCCGAGGCCTGCTCGTTGAGCCATTCCTTGTCCATGGAGTCGCTGAACTTGAGGGAGTAGGTGGCAACATAGCGGAGCACAGCGCCATTGCCGTCCGGCTGTTGAACATCTTCGTGGCACTTGGTGACTTCCATCGTCGTGGGAAAGTAGGCTCGTAGGTGCAAGTCGTGATCTTCTTGGGTGTGTTTGAGGAGCACCTTGCCAGTTTTGTCGTCCCACTTCGATGGCTTCGATCGAACCGGCAACTTGGAGCTAGTGCGATCCCTTTGCCCGTCCATGACGATGCCGTGCAAGAGCGGCTGCCGCTTCTTGTTCGGCAAGTGTGCCGATATCTTGCGCTCCAAACCAATGTCCTTGATGTTTTGCAGGAAATCTAAGGAATGACTGTGCGTGGTTCCTCTTCCATGATAGGACTTCGTGGCTTGCTTTCTTTTGCCATCTTGAAACTCTAGTCGCGTCACGCGACCCAGCACGGTCTCCACATTCTTTGGCGGCATTGAACCGAGCAGGTGATCCGTCCAGATTCTGTCGGCTCGCCCCGTCTTCCCCCGGGCGCCTGACATGAAAGCCTTGTCCAACTCCAGCAAGACATGGGCTTGATGGAGGGTCTCTGCCCCAGCCAGGTGCATTCGAGCACGGCCCGCTTGTCGTTGCTCGTGCATGACCCACTCGTGGTACGGAAAGGTCAGCTCATAGGGTGCCCGAGTGCGAAACAACGCAGCGTTGCCGCATTGGCGCTGCATGTCAATCACCGCCAGATGCGGACGCGCCAGTATTGCGGGGTCCACGGGCAGCTGCTCAGCACCACACGCAGCGGAACATCGGTTTGCCGAGCAATGTTTTTCTTTGTGCCCACCGTAGTCCACATGCTCAGGTCGTAGACGAAGTGCAGGAGCTCATAGTCTGTGCCATAACCGATCAAGGGCGACAAGACCTTCCGAATGAAGCCCCGCTTGACCCTGCCAAGCTTGCTGTGCTGGATGTCTGGCCCCTGCTGGCTCTCTGGATTGGGCTCCGAGCCGCTGGCTTCGTCTTCGGTGTCGAACTCCACGCTCTGGCGCTTGGCCTTGCGTTTTCGAGCCTGTCGAATTTCGTGCTCTGCCCTGGCCACGGTCTCACAGAGGTTGCGGCGCCAATAGAGATGCGGCCATAGCGCGCACTCCAGACCTGTGCTCAACAACGGTCGACAACGCAACAATCGCACAGCCTATGATGACGCCATGTTTTGTTTTCGAAACAATAAGAGTTGCTCTTTGGGTATGACAGAAAACTCTTTGACATACGTTTGTTCGGAACTCCACACCTTCTTGCTCTATGAAGCGCAACGGCCTCTTTCGCAACTTTTCTTCCGCATCCTTACCATGCCGCCGCAAGAATTCCTGGTGCTTCTCGTAGAAGACGGCATACTCGCTGTCATCAGATTGAAGGAGATGAGTCAAAGCGGCGTGCGCCGAACGGCACTCGGATTTGAAAGGCAGCTTTTTGATTTTGTAGTCCACACTTCGAGCGGCCCAAGCAAATGTGATCATGCTCGTGTGCACTCGATACCCGTAGTCTGCGCGAACTGCAAGGCCTCTCACACATTTTCTGGCTGAAGTGGTTAAAGCATTGGAATTTCATATTTCACTTACGAAGCAGCAATGTCTTCTGGCACCAAACCCGGGTACATACGAACGAATGCGGTTTCGATTTTCGCCTCCCGCCTGTGTCGACATCCAAGGGCCGCAGGGCGCGCACGACGCGAGGAGGCAGAGAGCGCAGAGCCAGCGGGACGTCTTCCAGGGCAGGGACATATTCATTATGCTTGCAGGCCGTGCACGCCTTGGCAGAAATAGTTGCCTTTGCCACTCGCTTGAGGTCCATCGGCCTGTAAGAAAGGATTCTGTGCTACGAGGGCCTTTAAAAGAGGATTCTGTGTTACGAAGGCCTATAAGAAAGGATTCTGCGCTATAAGGGCCTGTGAAAAGGATTCTGTGCTACGAGGGCCTTGAGAACAGGATTCTGCCCCACGAGGATTTCGAGGGCCGTCTCTAACACAAACCCGCTACACACTATATATTGTAATTCCCCGCGCTCTTAAACGGCCTGCGATGCCCCTCCAAAATGGACAGCCCGGAAGACCGTAATTTTCCTACACTCTAAAACGGCCTGTGGCTTTCTCTTATTTGCAACCCTCGACATAGGACTCTTGTAGCCTCTTATAAAGGGTTCAAAAATGAGTAAGAGCCACAGGCCGCTTTAGAGTGTAGGAAAATTACGGTCTCCCGGGCTGTCCATTTTGAAGGGGCGTCGCAGGCCGTTTAAGAGCGTAGAAAATTACGGCTACGAGGGG